AGAAGGACATACGTAAGTCAAGCACGTCATTAGACGGCACTCAGTTTATAGCGCCCACCATCATGAAGCCGTCAAGTGTGGTGAAATGACGACATGTGACAGGTACTTTGATGAGACTCGCATGTAAGCCGATTGTTTTTTGGGACATAGGTCGAGCTCTTTTATAAGCGCATTGTTTTCTAAGCCGAGGCCCCTTTGGTTGCCATGTGTTTCTTGAAGGGTATTCGACCCGAAATACCCTTCGGCTCCCGTACACCTATATGGGGTATATTTTAAAAATAAAAAAAAGTCAAAGTACTTCAAAAGTATTTTTAGATTAAACTTGACTTACTTACACACTAGTATATAAATTTTCACACAAAAAAACCTACGTTGACTTCACAGTGAAGAAGACAAAATTTATTTACTATTATAGGTCACGATTCATGCTATTTTAACCGAAAATTTGTCTTTCGTGAAAAGAAGTCAAATCGAAATTTTCTTTTTGTGGAACTTTTCTCACTAGCACAACAAGAATACTACAGAGTATATATCAAAAACATGATGTGATGGGAATACCCATTACTGGTTATATTGATCGGCTGCCTCTATGCTATCTGGACATACAGAACACCATCAATGAAAAGTAATTCATAATTTATGTGGCTCAATATGGCCAACCCAAGAAATCAAAACTATAGTCCCATAGTGTGATTTCTCAAAAATAATTCACTTCCTCAAAATAAAATAATGAAAAAAATAACATATAAGTGAGTTCTAATCTAATTTCCTAGGTTTTCATCTCCTAGATTATATCAATTAGTCTTGAGTCTTGGCGCGACGCAAGTCTTTCCTTGCCGCGCACAGCCGGTGTCATCTAGCCGCAAGTCTCGACCAGCTCCACATCCGTGGTTGACAAACTTTGGCTTCAATCTCCCTTCAAAAAGATAGACTAGTCCATAAAACATGGGAGGTATTTTAAGCAAGCATCTAGAAAAATAAATTGTATGTATGATAAGGTCAAAACCCAGCCGGCGGTACACTTTGTGAAGGGAGCTCCTTATCTCTTCCAGCACCTGTCTTTCGGGCTCCTTTGTGGTTCGCTGATGGCCACGCAGGTGGGAGAGCAGACTCTATAAGAAAAATCGCCACCGTTGACCATAGGGAGGAGAGCAGTATCGAAGCAGAGGAAGAGACAGCGGCCATACAGAGGACTCCAGGCAAATTTTAATCGAGGGAATACTTGATTACGGAGCCATGGATGCTTATTATTACTTCACAGGCAATCAGCTGGATATCGAAAATCCTTATGAACGGGAGAAGGCTTTCCGTGTTTCATTAATGGACGTTGGGGCCATGGCCGAGGCGAACCCGAATTTCGTCACGGAGCAGCGTGCCATTTATAATGCCATCCGTGCTCAAGCCGCCGCTCGGCGGAAAGCGGCAGCGGCGGAGGCATAGCTGCAGGCCATCGCAGAAGAGAACATAGCCAGATGCGCCTTCTACAAGCCGCCGATGAACCATCAGCCGGCCCGATGGGACGACGACAGCTAAGGTGCCTCCATTTCCCTCATGGACCTCACGTCCACCGGCGACGGACAAGGCGCAGACTCTTTCGAGGATGAGTAGGCCACATGAGCTGGCGGGTCCTGGTATCCCAGTGGGCCGGTCCGTCTCCCATATTTTACTCTTCTTTACCGGAGACCACACCTTTACTTCATCGGTCTTATCGCTGGTGCTTATGGAGAAGGCGGAAGAAGGACGACACAGGCTTGGACGCCGGGGGCCGCTGCCGTAGAATAGGTTTAAGGGCAGGTCTTTTTTCTAAATGTTCGAAATGTACTTAAATCCGTTGTGTTTATGAAATTCGTAATGTTTATACAAAATCCGCCTGTGTTTGCATAAATTTCATCCGATTTATTTAAAAATAGTTTGAAATGTATGTGGCTAAATGTTAGATGGCTGCCTTCCGCATCTATATTTGCGGACTAATCTCTCTATCCACGGACGGATGCAGTAGGTTTTTTATGGGTTGCGTTGTGGACGCCTTTATGGGACAGAACGTCACAGTATATTTTATATTTTGGCATGAAGGCGCATGCATGCAACGCAAGTGAATATATAGTGCATGTACGTGTGCGCACACCTTGTACCGTGTTTCTAAGGGCATCTCCAGTCGTTGGCCCCCCAGGGGCGTCTAAAAGCGCCGCCTAGAGATGAGCCGGCGCAAAAAATGGCCCTGGGGGCGGGTCGGTCCCCAGCCGTCGGCCCCCAAGCGCATATTAAAAAAATAAAGGACCGTTCGGCGAAGTTATAATAAAAACTAGTTAAATTTCGGTCAAACATGGCAAATTTCGGTGAAATTCGCATATTTTCATTACATTTTAACCTAATCTAAAAAAGAAAAGGGCTGAAGTCGTCGCCGCCGTCGGCCTTCTCCTCCTTGACACGGGCGCCCCTGCTGGACCCCTGCCCGGCGTCACCATGGCGGACTGGCGGCGGCGTGTCGTCGTCGTCGCTGTCGCATAAGACGACGACCCCGTCTTCAACGCGGCCGCGTCGGCGCTCCTCGAAGCGGCGCAGGGCGGCGCGCTGGCGCTCCTTCTCCTTCTCCCGGCGCGCCTTCTCCATCGCAATGGAGTCCTGGCGCGCCCATTCTAGGGCCGCGTCATCGTCGTCGAACTCCGCCTCCACCGGCGTCAGCCCCGGCTCCGTCTTCACCGGCGCCAGCCCCGGCTCCATCTTCGGCTTGACGAAGCGCGGAGAAGCCGACGAGGAGGGGGCGCGCCGGCCGCCCTCGTTGATGACGATGCCGACGCTGCGACTGCGCCGACCGATTGGTGTCTCCGCCGCGGGCTCGGCCTTGACGCCGAGAAGCGCCGAAGAACCGGATGAATGGGAGGATGAGCGAGAGGAGGAAGACGAGGAGGAGGCAAACCTCCTTGGCGCCCATGCGCGTCGGTGTTGCGACGGGCGGCCCCCGTCGCAGGATAGGTCAACGGCGGGTTGTTGCCGCCGTCGAGGTGCGTCAGCACGCCCTCCAGCGTGCGGCCCGGGACGCCCCACCACAGGTGGCGCCCCACGCCGTTCTTCACGCCGCCGACCACCGGCGCGTCGTTGGTGGAGGCCAGGCGCTGTTGCTGGTGGCGCTGGAAGTAAGCCGCCCAAGCCGCGTGATTGCCGGCGGCATACTGGGGGAGGGAGCGCTCGTCGTCGGTCAGGGAGGCGCGCGCGACCTCGACCTCCTCGGCGAAGTACGTGGGCTTCGCCAAGGTGTCGGGTAACGGGGGAACAGGCACTCCCCCGTCGCTGAGCCGCCACCCCGTCGGCCCGGCGCGCATGTCCGGCGGTGCCGGGATGTTCGCCTGGAACAGGAGCCAGGACTCCTGTTCGCGGAGCGAACGCCGGCTGAAGCCGTTCGCCGCCGCCTCGTCTCCGGGGAAGCGCTCTGCCATGGCGACGGACTCGGCGGTGGTAGAGAGGGAGAGAGAGGGGCTGCCGGTGACGCTCGGGAGAGGAAGACGGAGACGGAGAGAGAGGGGCTGGGCGGCGGCGAGGGGCGAGTCTGGTGTGGGCACCGGCGAGAACCGCCGGCTTTCATAGCCGCTCCGCGCCGTGTGTACGCGCACGAGGGAGGGGAGGTGTCAGCGCGCCGTCCCGAGACTCGCCGCCCGTGAGGAATCAATGGCAAGGCTGACCGGCGGCAGCCTTGGCATTGATTCCCCGTGGGAACCGAGGCAGTTGGGGGAAGACGAGCCGCCGTGTCCCTGACGCGGCGGGCCCGCGGCTGTTTCGCGCCAAAACAGTTCGCCCCGGCGCCCCCGAACGCCGCCCAGCGCGCCGGGTTCGGCCTGGATCCGCCGGCGCTGTTTTCGGCCCAAGCCGGCGAAAATCAGGCTCCTGAAACGCGACTGGGCCGATTTTTCAATGTCGGCACAAAAAAGATGACTAGGGAGGCCTTTGTGCGGGCGCGGCTGGAGATGCCGTAATGCATTGCCTCCTCGTCTCCACTCTCCGCAAACAGACAGACAGACAAGACAGAGTAGCCAGCGTGCCTGCTGGGGTCGATGGTCCACGTTGCGCTCTGCCTGCTGGTGCTGGATGCGTGGAAGATGGTCCAGGCGGTGCCACCGAACAGATCGAATGTGCATGCATGCATCCGCTCCTCGCTCGCTAGCATGCGTGCGTGCGTGCGTGTATATACGGACACCACAGCACCGACGACCGGCCAACTCTCGCTCGCACTACCCTCCACCTCCAGTCCAATCTCGCTCGCAGTCACAGAGGACAGAGCCCGCGGCGACATGTCCACCACCGCCACCGCCTACGCCACATCTACGGCAGATGACGACCGCCGACAAGCGCTCCAGGCGTTCGACGACACCAAGGCGGGCGTCAAGGGCCTGGTCGACGCGGGCGTCACCGCCGTCCCCGCCATCTTTCACCACCCGCCGGACTCCCTCCCCCTGTACGCGCCTCCTCAGCTACACCACGAGCACCGCTTCACCATCCCGGTCATCGACCTCGCCGGCCTCGGGACGCCGTCGGGGCGAGCCTCCGTGGTCGGCGCGGTGAGGGCAGCCACGGAGACGGTTGGCTTCTTCCAGGTGGTGAACCATGGCGTGCCGGAGGCGGCCATGTCGGAGATGCTCGCGGCGGTGCGGTGCTTCCACGAGGAACCCGCGGACGCCAGGGCGCCGTACTACAGCCGGGACCACGGCCGGCGCGTCAGGTACACGAGCAACTTCGACCTGTTCCAATCGCCGGCCGCCAACTGGCGCGACAGCGTGTACATTGACATGACGCCAGACCCGCCGGCGCCCGAGGAGATCCCGCCGGCCCTCCGAAGCGTCGTGCCGGAGTACGAGCGGCTGGCGCGGCAGCTGTACCACGAGCTGCTGGAACTGCTGTCGGAGGCCCTGGGACTGCGCCGCGGGCACCTAAAGAAGGACGCCGGGTGCCTCGACGGGCTCAACCTCGCCGCCCACTACTACCCGGCGTGCCCGGAGCCGCACCTGACTATGGGCACCACCCGGCACTCCGACCCCAGCTTCCTCACCGTGCTGCTCCAGGACGCCGTCGGCGGCCTCCAGGTGCTCGTGGAGGATGACGGCGGCTCCGCTGAGTGGATTGAGGTGCCGGCGGTGCCGGGGGCACTGGTGGTGAACATCGGCGACTACCTGCAGCTCTTGTCCAACGACAGGTTCAAGAGCGTGGAGCACCGCGTGGTGGCCAACGGCGCGGGTCCTCGGGTGTCGGTGGCCTGCTTCTTCCGGACGTACGGTGCCGCCGCGTCCATGAGGGTGCTGCAGCCGATCGTCACCGGCGGAGACCGCGCGAGGTACAAGAGCGCGACGGTGGAGGAGCTGCTCCGGCACTACAGGGCCAAGGGCCTGGACGGCACCTCCGCGCTCGACCACTTCAGGCTCTGAATGGAGCGCAGATGATGTATCTTCTGTTTACCTCTTCTCGTGTTTAAGTGTGGAGAATTGTGGACGCCCTCGTGGATTAATTGGGCATTCAACAATGGCTTTGTTAATTTTCTCATGCATGGTTACTAGCCATGGATTTGTTTTTTTTTTTTTTGCGGGGGAAAAGCATTTCATTTCATTTAATCAATAGTGGGAGTACATTCATTTGAAATGACAATGCTAATCTCCTGGGGGGAATTTGCTAACCAACAAGCCGTACGCTGCTGACCACGACCCATCGCTGCCATGGCATGTGCAGCCTTATTCTGTGATCTACCTATTTTTGTGACTTGCATTGATCTTTCTTGCAACATCTCCGAGACGGCCGCCACTTGAAACATATTCCTTGATCTTCCCTTTGAACCTAATTCAAGGAGCTTCAATATCTCCGCACAATCTGTCTCGACCTGGATAGGCAAGGGAGTCAAGTGCAACGCCAGCTTCAGGCCCTCCTCACACGCCGATAGCTCTGCCTCCAGTGCGCCCGAGCAGTTCCGGATCCATCTGCATGCCGCGTAGATAACCGCACCTGTGTGATCACGTAGGATCATACCGGCACCAGCTGTTCCATCTGCCTGTACAAACGAACCGTCAAAATTGAACTTTGCAACACCACATGGGAGAGGAATCCAACTGGGTTGTACGCTAGGCTCCAACTTATGTTGAGCACCATTGTTGGATAAAAGAGCTGGTTGCTTCCCCTTGAGGATGTCCACCTCTGGCCCCTGTTTGATAAGTAGCAAGGAATCAACATAGCTACAGAGAAATTTCTTCGATGCCTCGACCGGGATTAGTGGTTTGTCATGGGTAAGTTCGTTTCGAACATGCCATGCACGCCATAGTAGCATGAGCAGGAGCATACGCTGGGTCTCATCTAATTGCTGGAGGCAAAGAAGGAGCCATTCCGGTTCCATACCTTTGAGTGAGTTATCAGCAGGAAGGTCCCAAACTAATCTCATCACAGTCCAAAGATTACGTGCATGTGGGCATTGGACAAGTGCGTGAAATGTCGTCTCTGTCTCTTGCCCACAGATGGTACAGATTGCATCATGATCAAGGTGATGGCGCAACATATTTTCTCTGGTTGCCAAGGCCCCTCTCGCAGCCTTCCACGCAAACACCCGTACTTTAGGTGGGGCGCCGCAGCTCCACATCAACTTCCAAGCAGGTCTTGACCCATCTGGACGTCCACTCGACTCGCCAATCTCCTGTGTTGCCATGAGACAATCCTGAGCCATCCTATATGCTGATCTGACAGAGAACATTCCATGCTTGTCTGGCTGCCAGGCAACGCAATCCTTTTCCATTCTACTAGAGGGTTTGATTTTCAGTATTTCATCAACGTCGACCGGAAAGAAATGTTGTCGAACGAGTGTGATGTTCCATGAACCGTCAGTTTGCATAAAATCGGCAACCCATTTCAGTCTGCACCTTCTCTTTGGAGTGATCGGTCTGAACGACGGTCCTCTTGGGATCCATAGGTCTCGCCACACGCGTATGTTAGCGGCGTCCCCCACTCGCCATATATATCCTTGCTTTAGCAGTTCCAAGCCATGCTCGATAGCCTGCCAAGAACTTGACCCGTTTCCAGTAAACACCGTGTCAGTGATATCTCCTTGGGGATAATATTTTGCTCGCAGAACTTGTGCGCATAGACTGTCCGGGTACTGGATTAATCGCCAGGCCTGTCGAGCTAAGAGTGCTTGGTTAAATATTCTTAGGTCCTTAAACCCCATTCCTCCCCTAGCCTTGGGCCTTAGCATAATATCCCAGCCGACCCAATGAGTCTTTCTCTTCCCTTTCTTTGCACCCCACCAGAAACGACGGATCATTTTGGTGAGCTCCTCACACAGCCCGGCCGGCACCTTGAAAACACTCATAATGTAAACTGGCAAGGCTTGGGCAATAGCTTTGATTTTTACTTCCCGTCCAGCCATAGCCAACTGATTTTCACCCCACTCCACGAGTGCTTTTGCAAGTCTCTCCTCAAGAGTTTTCAGCTTACCTCTTCTCATGCGACCATCTGGCGTTGGTAGGCCAAGATATTTTGCCTCGAAGGTGCTCTGGGAGATCTGCAAGGTGACCTTGATAGTATCCTGTACTGCCGCCGGACACATAGGGCCAAATAAAATCGAGCACTTTTGAGGGTTGATGTACTGGCCGGTACGCCTTGCATACGTTTGCAACACCTGCTGCACTCTGATTGCTTCATTTGGCTCAGCTTTAAAGAACAATAGAGAATCGTCCGCGAAGAGCAAGTGAGATATGCCTGGCGCTCTTCGGCAAACTTTGATAGGAGTAACCGTTCCCTGGATCGCTTCACGTTGCAAGAGGGCAGAAAGACCGTCAGCAACAAGTAAGAAAAGGAATGGAGACAAAGGGTCACCTTGGCGAAGACCTCTGGTAGGAGAGAACGAATCAAGAAGGGTTCCATTGAATTTCACTGAATAGCTCACCGGGGTCACACAAGACATTATCCAGCCTGCCCATCGGGGAGCGAAACCCAAACTCTGCATCATTTTCCTGAGGAAGTCACAGTCCACCCTGTCATATGCTTTAGAGAGGTCTAACTTGTATGCACAAAAAGAATCCTTCTCCTTTTTACAGTGTTCAATGGCATGGAAACACTCAAAAGCGACTAGCGCGTTATCTGTTATCATACGGCCGGGGACAAACGCGCTCTGATTTGGAGATATAATATCGCCAAGAATAGGGCGGAGCCTGTTAACAAGACATTTGGCCACAATCTTATAGAGCACTGAACACAAACTGATAGGTCTAAAGTCTCTGAGGGATTCCGGCTGATCGGACTTCGGAATCAAAACAATGGAGGTGGCATTGGTTTCAGCCGGCATGTGACCAGTAGCAAAAAAGAGCTTGACTGCAGCGACAACTTTTTCTTTCAGAATTGCCCAATTTCGTTGATAAAACCGGGCCGGGAATCCATCCAATCCTGGGGCCTTCAAAGGGCCAATTTGAAACAATGCATCTGCTATTTCTTTCTCCGAGAACTCCTTACACAGTGACATATTCATCTCTTCTGTTACTCGTGCTTGTACAAGGTCGATGATCTCAGCAGCTTGTAAAGATGGGTCTCTGGTAAATAACTCCTTAAAGAAGGACGTGGCCATCAGTTCCATGGCAGATGGGGCTGTATGCCACACTCCCTCGTCATCTTTCAGCTTTTTAATTTTATTTCGCCGTGCATGCCACACCGATTTACTATGAAAGAATTTAGTGTTGCGATCTCCGTCCTTCAACCAACTTATCCGTGATCTCTGTAGCCACAGGAGCTCTTCCCTGTATAGTAGCTCGTTCATGCTATCCGTCAATCTCCGGATCTCCTGTTGGTCGCCATTCGTACGCATTAGATGCTCTAATTTCTTTTGAGTGTGCTCAAGTTCACGCACAACATTGCCAAACTTCCTGCGGCTCCAACCCTGTAGATCATTCATGACTGAATTCAGCCCAGCCGTGATGGATGCAAGATCACCAGTAGCTTGCGCCACCTCCCATGCTCGCTCGATTAGTTCTGGTAATTCACCAGCACGTTCCCATAAGATCTCATATTGTCGGGCTTTTTTCTGCGGGGGTGTGAATACCTCTCTTTGCAATGTTACTAGGATTGGGAGATGGTCAGAGCATGGGGAGACAAGGTGGACCACATTAGCATCAGAAAATATGTCCCTCCATCTATCATCCGCTAGTGCGCGGTCGAGGCGAACCTTGACATTACTCCTTCCTCGCCGCTTGTTATCATAAGTGAACGGTATCCCTGAAAAACCCAAATCATGGAGCTCACAGTCCTGAAGCACATCCCTGAACGCCGCAACTTGGCTTGCTGGTCTGGGGGTAACTGAAAGGTGCTCACACTGCCAAAGCGCTTCGTTAAAATCACACATAAGCATCCACGGGAGATCACTGCTTGCACGTAGATCAGACATGATAGACCACATGCGGTTCCGATTTTCAGTTCTGGGTTCTCCATACACACATGTGAGATGCCATTGCGGGTCAGAAGGGGAGGCACGAACATACGCATCAATAATTCTTTCATTATGATCTTTAATCTCGACTGACAACTGATCGTTCCAAAACAGAGCTAATCCACCACTTTGACCATTGCTATCAACTCTACAAAAACCATGAAGACCTAAACGAGAACAGAAGCGACGAACTTTCTCAGATTTTTGTCTAGTTTCACATAAAAACACAAACTGCGGACGGTGACTCTGGACGAGGGCGGTAAGATCACGAACTGTCGAGGCGCCCCCGATTCCTCGACAGTTCCAGCTCAGGCCTATCATTGCTGCTGACGGGGCGCAGCGCGCGACCCCGTCAGGTGACCGGCAGCCCCAGAGCCGGTTGCTTCCAAGTTCATCCTCTCCCCCATCTCCACACCAACATTCGAGTCCTGCACTGATCTCTTCCCTAGCACACATTCAGTTTCTGGCCTCATACTCTCTGAACTTTCATGTGACGTAGATATATTGCTCAGATCCCTTAGGAAAGGGGTCTTGTCCTCCTTGCCAAGCCGCACCGGCTTGTGATTGTTCTGTACGACGAGGTGATTCTCATGCGAAGGTGGCGTGGCCACTGGAACAGATCGATCTGGCGGCTTGCGGGGTTTCTGATGTTTCTCGGCCTCCTCCAGGGGCTGCTTTATGTATGCACCCGTTTCCGATTTCCTCCAGGGGCTGCTTTATGTATGCAGCCATGGATTTGTTAACGAACTGATTAGAGTTATTATTCAGTGAGTATGTAGTATTTGCTTCGAGAGCACCTATGCGTCAGTCGCTGTGAAAAAATTCAGTTTTATCGATTTCCCTCCTTCAGTTTCAGTTCACCTGTGGCCATTGGAAGCCGCCGCCTCCGCCGTGCTGCCGCTGCTGTGACCATCCCTCTAAACCTCCCCGCATCAAATTTTCTCCGGCGAGTTAGCAGTTTAGCACCCCTTAACC